CACAATTTTACCCAGCCCCCAGCATTTTACCATCCCCCTCTGGGCTTCGGCGTTCCAGACATCTTCTCAAACCCAGACTTGATCTGTCAGTTCCCTATTTAAAAGCCCACTGGGCTCCATGCAGCCCACAAGATAGTCCAAACCCTGCAGCAGCCCAGCATCCGTCCTCCCCGCTCCGAGGCTCCTTCTATGACGCCAGCTTCCCAAGCATCTCACCTCCATCTGCCTCCTCTCCCAGACGTACCCTGCCTGGCTCCTTGCCTAAATACACCTAATCTGTTCTTAAGATCCAGCTCCCAAGCCATCAAGATTCCTCCTCTGCTCCTAGCTCACCAATAGCTTCCTCCTCCCTTCCCCCTCCCCCAGAGTATTGATCAAATCTGGATAATACAACCTACCTTCAAATCAGCTTTTAAGTTATCTCTTTCCCCACTAGCCTGGGAGCTACTCAAAAGCCAGGACAGATCGAATGTTCCTTTGTATTCCTAGCACAACACCAGCCCCATCTTTGAGGCCAGATCAAGTAACTGACTCATTTATTCACTCATTCAATGAACAGTCATTAAGCTCCAACTAGGCTCCCCCCAGGCACTAGGGATAGAGCTGTAGGCGCTAAGATTAGGATGGGACAACTAAGCTGATTTCCATGATCAGCATTATTTCCACACCCTTGGAGCTTCACAACGAACTCGAAACAGGTGAGAGAAAAATCCAACTAAAAATTAATCAGACACAACCTAAATATCCATTGACAGATGACTGGATAAAGAAGCTGTGGTATATGTATATATACGCACATATACGCACAGCAAGAGCTCTCAGCTAAATGCAACTGCAAGTAGGTTACTGTAAGGTCTTTAAGATAAAATTTCTTCTTGTCAGTTTTTCTTAATATAAGTGCCTGTTTGACTTTACCTGTTGCTTTTGTTAAATAAAGTTTGTATGTTGCATTAAAAAAAAGATATATATGTACAGATATGTGTATATATATCTCTGTACGATGGAATACTACTCAGCCATAAAAAGGAATAAAATAATGCCATTTGCAGCAACACGGATGGACTTGGAGATTGTCATTCTAAGTGAAATAAGCCAGAAAGAGAAAGAAAAATACCCTACGATATCACTCATGTGGAATCTAAAAAAAGAAAAAAGACACTAATGAATTCATCTACAAAACAGACTCACAGACATAGTAAACAAGCTTATGGTTACCAGGGGGGAAGGGGGTGGGAAGGGATAAATTGGGAGTTTGAGATTTGCAAATATTAGCTAATATATATAAAATAGATAAACAGATTTCTTCTGTATAGCACAGGGAACTATATTCAATATCTGGTAGTAACCTATAATGAAAAAGAATATGAAAATGAATATTTGTATGTATGTGTATGACTGAAACATTATGCTGCACCCCAGAAATTGACACATTGTAAACTGACTATACTTCAATTTAAAAAAATTAATCAGATGATCATTACAGACTTAGCAGTGATGATGGAGGAAAAGTACAAGGTGCTGTGAAAGGATGTAACGGGGGAACTGAATTAAGTGTGGGGTGAAGGGGAGAGGGGAGAGATCTCTGAGACCAGGAGGCCTGAAGGACGAGGGGCTCCAGGGGGGCGATGCGCAGTAGGCACTCAAGGTGGACAGAACAGCAGGAGGAAGGCCTTAGTCCCATCACCTAGTGAAGCACGAGTTGGTCATTTCCTCATCGGCTATTCATCTGAACGTTCAAACAGAAAGAAGCGAGAAGTGGCTAGGAGATGAGAATGGTCTTTAGGCTGAACCCGGAGCCCTGATATAGGTGGCAGTCGGTGTGTTAGGTGGGAGACGGGTGAGGGTGGAGTTGAGGAGGTGGAGACTTGGACCAGCACGGGGAGAGCAGTGAAGGGGGCGGACCAGCCCCGCAGAAGAAGGCATCGAGCCCTTGATGCAGGTCCTAGGCTCCAGCCCAGAAAGGCAGGGGCTTCTCTGTGTCTGTGTCTCTCTAGGCCCTGGTTCAGAATGACACCCACCCTGGAACAGTGACCACACACTCTGATTTCAAACACCCTCAACTACTCCTCACCCCTGTGCCCCATCCCCTCGGCCTCACCGGGCCCCGTCTCCCCAGTTTAGGTTCAGTGCACAGTCCGAGACCCTGTAAGGAGCAGAGGACTAGCTCGCTCCTTGACCCAGTAGCCCACGCCATCTGCTCTCTTTCTTTTTTTGTGGTGGGGGGTGGCAATTTGGAGCTTTGCCTGATGTTTATAAAACTCAAATCAAGAATTCACTTTCAGGCTGGGTGGAAGGATAAAATGGGAGATTAGGATTTACAGATACTAACTGTGTATATAAAATAGATGAACAGTAAGGATCTACCGTACAGCACAGGGAACTATATTCAATACCTTGTAACAGCCTATAATGAAAAAGAATATGAAAAGGAATATATATATATATATATATATAAATATATTTATATATATATATATATAACTGAAACACTATGCTGCACACCAGAAATTAACACATTGTCAACTGACTATACCTGAATAAATAAAGGGGAATAAAGAGAAGAATTAGCTTTCAGCATTGCTGCTAGGCTAGGGGTCTAAATTCAAGTAAAGACCCAAGGAAGAACGTTCAAAGAAGTCTTAGGGTGGGACCCTCACTGAGCAGGAACAGAAAACCAGACTTCAGGGACCCCCGGTAGTTCTGACAAACAGGTCCAGGTAGGGTCGGAGGTCACGGAGGAGAAGAGAGTACAAATCTGGGGACTTTTCTGCTGACACTTCAGAAATCATGGGTGAGCTGGCAAGGCAGATCCTAAAGAAATCAGCAGGCCTGAGGATTATTTTCCGTCAAGTTAAAAGCCAACAGGACTCATGTGACTTTTCACTCAATAACTAACATCACAAATTAACAAACCCTTCACCACTTTCCTATGATAAAGAGTTTTGTTGGTTGATTGGTTTGTCTTTGCGCTGGTTAATTCACTGGTCGATGAACAGCCCCATGTCCACTTCAGAGCGTTAATCAGTCCCCAGCCGGCGCACCCCGCCCCCACCCCCCACCCCCAGAACACTGTGCTTTCACTGCAAAAGGAGGCCTGGACTGTCCCCATCAGCCGCGAAGCACCCACCTGTCACAGGGCACAGGGGCCTGAGGCCGTCTCCAAGCTCCCGGGAGCGGATAAGTGCTCAACAGCCCCAGATGGGAGAAGGAGCCTTCCCCTTTTCATATCCACCATTTGAAAAAACAAAAAACCAACGAAGTGTTTCTCAGGAAGCCCTGAAAAACGGGTAAGATGCAGTCTCCAAGGCCCTAAGGGACCGCTCTCAGGATTCAGGCTGTAAACAGGTTTTGTTATCAAGAAAACATCATAAAGAGATCTGCATTGCTGCCTCCACCCTCCCAGCTGCACTTCTCTCTAACGAAGTCCCAGCGCGGTTGAGGGGTTTGGGGGTTCTCTCACATTCCAGGAGCTGGTGAGATCAGTCATCCGAAGGTGGAGTCTATTTTTAATTCTGCACAAGTGGACAGGTGTGCAGCACATTTTTTCTTGCCCACTTAGGCAAAGGCTGTGGAAAATACCAAGAGACCTGCTAGAAACTGCTCCCCAGCCCTGGAAGAGGCTGCAGTCTTGGGAGAAAGCTGAGACAGCACCCGTGGGCTCAACGGAGGACAGCACAGGGGTGGCTGTGAAGAGTCGAGACCCAGCTGAGGGGGCGGAGTGGGGTGGCTGTGGGCGTGCGCACGTGTGCCTGTACCCCACGGTCGGTGCACCCCAAGGTCAGGGTGCATTACTTGGGAGCTGTCTGTTGTTTCACACAATCTACTCTCTGCCCTGACCAGGGAGGCTGTAAACCAGCAGCCCTCACACATACACACACACACACACACACAGCTTGCTAGAGACCCACTATGGCACAGGTCTGGGTTTTTTGTCTTTTTTTGTTATTTTTAATAAGTAGTTTCTAACTTTTAAAGATTAGGAGATTTGCCAACGGCCACGTATCCCATCTTTCCTGAGAAATGGAAAGATCTGACAATCCAGGCTCCCATTTCCACAGAGAAGCAGCGGGCAGTGAGAATTAGATGGCACACGTGCTTTCAAGTTCACCGCAATCTCCACCACTCCCTAATGCCTCACACTCAGCCTGCTTTCTTCTTTAGGTTACCTGGGACCTGGAGATGCTGAATTTGTAACCCCTGCGTGTCACACTGAATCTAATCATTGGAATCTTTGAGTGTTGCCTTAAATGGAAAAAGGGACTTTGCGGGTGCAATTAAGTTAAGGGTCTTGAGATAAGGAAATTCCCTTGGATTTTCCTAGTAGACCCTCAGTGTAATCACAAATACCCTTATAAGAAGGAGGTGGAGGAAGATTTGACAACAAAAGAGAAGGCAAGGGGACCATAGAAGCAGAGATCAGGACGATGTGGCCAAAGCCAAGGAATGCCACCAGCCCTGAAGTTGGATGAGACCAGAAACCATTCTCCCCTGGAGCCTCGAGAAGGAAACAGCCCTGCTGAAACCTTGATTTTGGCCCCATAAGACTCATTTCAGATGTCCAGCCCCCAGATCCGTAGGAGAATAAATTGCTATTGTTTTAGCCAATTAAGTTGGTAGTAAGTTTGTTACAGCAGCAATAAGAAACGGACATACCCTGCCAACTAAAGAACTCCACAAATGCCCAGAGTGCCCAGCATACAGCAGGCAGGCTCTGCCCCCAGGCAGGTTATACGCCCATAGGAGAAGGCAGAATAATAATGATGGTAGAGCATGGCTTGAGCAGGGATACGGGGAAGCTCCCACGGACTTTGGGAACATACCCGAGGCACTTCTAACCCAGGCCGTGAGATTCCAGGGCAGACTGTTTTCCAGTTTTACTACACATGCATCCATCTCTGCGGGGCAATGGAACTCCGTCGTGGCTCTGAGCAGTGCTGGGCCCAGGGGACATGGTGGGTGGGAGTGGGGACCAGCACCAGGGACGCCAGGGCACTCCTCACCTTGCGTGCTGGATGAACTGGGTAGCTTTCTCGGCATACTTCTGTGCCAGGCTGCTCAAGTTCACGGGCTGCTCCACGATGTTGAGGTTTTCATACAGAGGAAGGGCCACGTCAGAGTAACAGTCCCGCTCAAGGTTCCTGTGTGGAAACCACAGATGGTAGAGTATTCATTCCCACGACCTAAGTAGTCATGGAGTCGAGCGAGATGCTTTAACGCAGCGATGCACATGAATACAAAACACTTAATAGTCTGGCCCCAGATGGTTTTTGCAGCCTGCCGCTTCCTCCCAGTGTAAAACCAATATGAGACCTCCTTGCATTCCCTTTCTGTAGATGTATTGATCCTTCGACAAGCCTGGCCTCTCTGTAAAACTCACCAAGACTTCCGTGAGCTCGGGACGGGGGGACTCCCATTTCTTGAGGGTAGAAACTGAGGTCTAAACAAACTAAATTACTCAAGCAGAGTCCCAGAGCCAATCAGCAGCCCTGGCTCTTTCTACGGACCCCCCCGGAATCATGGCTTCTGGCTGCTGGGGGCAACGCTTGGTATTTTCCCAAGTCAACAGCCAGGACTTCCCATGTCACGATGTCTGACAATATGACAGACGGTTAGCAACGTTTTTTTTTAAATTTTTAAATTTTTAATTTTTTCATTAATTATGCATTTGTTTTCCATCTTTTTTTGGGGGGGTCATTAGGTTTACTTATTTATTTTTTAATGGAGGTACTGGGGATTGAACTCAGGACCTCAGGCATGCTACGCACGCACTCCACCGCCGAGCTATAGATCCTTGCCCCCTGGGAACAACTTTTGAATTTCAAACCATGTTTGGAGAATTTGGAGAAACTTTAGCAATTGGGAAAAGTGGGAGGGGTCAAACCAATTCTATCTCTTGGAAAAAACCGAACCCAGCCCTTGGTCTCACTGATGGGAAGGAATCTGATACATGCACGGCCCAGCAAAGAGGCCAAGTCATGACTCTGACCATGATCTTGGGCAGCTCTCAGAGCTTGACAGTCCTGATCGAAAGTGCAGGGTTGCTCGTGCCCCCTTTCCGGGGGTCTGGGGAGGACTAAAGGAGGTAAGGAATGGTTAGTGTTTGCACACTGCTCAACAGAGTAGGAACACAATAAAAACTCAAGCCCTCCGTCCTGGTGGCCACAGAGAACCAGGAGAGAAGCTGAGAATGATGGAGAGCAAAGGGGGGCCGCGGGAGGCCCAGGCAGAGGAACTGTCCTCCCAGTGCAGGGAAGGGCTTGGGAAGAAATGCAAGTTCCTCGCCACACATCTATGTGCACACGCACCACTCCAGAAGCTTAAGAGGAAGGTCAGACTAGGGTAAATAATCACCAAAGACTTCGATTTTTTTTTAAAAGAGAGAGAAAAAAAAAAAAGGAGCACTGTCTTGGGCATCACAATGCTAATCTCATCATTTGTGTCCAATTTTTCAGCTTTTGATGGTCTTGCCCCATCTCCACCATCCCTTACATCCTTGCCCTATTCCTCCCTCGGCCAGTGCTTTTCTTCTGTTTGGCTGAACACAGATTGAAAAGGAACCGGCTGCTGTAAGTCATACCATGATATGGCCAGTCGTGCCCCAGGTGTGACCCCCAGGCCATGGGCAGTCAGAAGGGCAGTGAGATGTCCTGTAGCATCACTACTCACACTGCAGCGTGCTCTGCATCACCTGGGCACGTTGTGAAAAGGCAGAACTCGGGGTGGGGTCTGAACACCTGCATTGCTAACAAGCACCCAGATGACACCCACGCTGCTGGTCCTGCAACCACACTCTTGAGTTGTTAGGATGGAGAGGATATAGGCTCTGGACTCAGAGAGACCCAGACCAGAATCTCCATCCCCCCCTCTACCCCAGCATGACCCGTGGAACCAGGAGAGCTTCCTTCCCTGTACAGTCAGGGTAAACACTCGCCTTGCTTGCTGTTCACGTGGGTCACAGATAAGTATGCAGAGTGCTTGGAACGTAACAATTCCTCAATAAATGGTTATTATTATACTAACTATTGTGTTATTAATAAGCCACCTGAGACTCATTTCCCCCCGGTGGCTGCAACCTTAAAAATAGCCACAGTGTACGGTCTGAACAAGCAGAGGGCTGGGTTTATGTTCCTTTACTATCCGAATAAGGTTTATTCCCTTTTCTGATAATAACTGTATTGCGTGCTCATTACAGAACATTTGCAAAATACAACAAGAAAGGAAAAAAAAAATAAAGAAAATTCCTTAATCCCTCAACCAGAGTGTGTGAACAATGGTTACCATTTTGGCCTATTTCCTCTAGGGCTACTGGAGGTGTAAATACAGAGGTAGTTATGATCACACTGTTGATGACTTGCTTCCTGCCTTTTTCACTTACTATTCTATTGTGAGCATTTTCCCATTTCACTGAATATGTTTTTAAAACATCCTGTTTAGTGCCTGCATGACATTCCAACGTCAGAATGCTGCCTTATTTGTTTGAGTGGGGCGGGTGGGGGGCGGGTGATGCTTGTACGGAGCTCTGGGTACTTTTTCTCGCTCTCTGTACAGATCTCCCACTTTATGTCCACTGTCTGGGCCAGGTGAGTGGTCCAGGAGCAAAGCCAGCAGGTAGAGGAGGAAGGAGGCCACCTGCATGAGACCTTCAGGTTCTCCCCGGCTCAGCTAAACAGTCCAAAGAGCCTGGAAAGTTCCAATAAAAAATTTTGTTTGCCTCATCTTCACCAGAAGTTTTCTTGCACTCCATGCCCATAATGCGTTTAAATTCGCACTCGAGGTACTCAACCTTTCCTGCTGTCTTTGCTTTCCCTTGTCAGCCTCTCTCATTGACTCCTGATGGACCACACCCTCCAGATCTCTCCTTGCTCTGGAGCCCACAGTCAGTGCCTTGGATCGGATTACCTTGATGGCCTGTTGCCCCGTGGACACGCTGGACAGGGAGGGTGGTTGTAGCCGGGGGTGTCAGTGCAGCCCATATCATGGCTGTACGGGATTCCAAAGTAGTAATCAAAGCCTGGAAGAGAAGCCACGAGTTAGGCTTCTGCTGTATGAGTCGGCATTCTTACGCCCAGAAATTTAATTTTCCACGATTTAATTCAGCAGTAATATGGAGTATGTAATTAAAAGGGGATTTGATTAATATCCCTTTGTAGTATGCAAAGAAAACATGTTGCTGGGTTCTGGCTGCAAGACTAGATTTGCAAAACATCTTGGGATTAGCATTAACCCAGACTGGAAGGAGGGGCTGGATTATCGAACCCCTACCATCCACAGTGCGCAGGACACTCTGAGGGATAAAAGAGTAAATCCTGCCCTCAAGATACTTCCCACCTGAAGGGGAGATAAGCTATAGAGATTTAGTTATAAGAGACAGATTATCAGTAAACCAGCAAGGGAGATCAGAGGAAGAAGTCACCCCTGGGTGCCGTGGGTGGGATGGGGTTGGGATGGGAATCTCAGAATGCTCCTGGACAGGGATGCTATTTCAGCCAAACTCAGAAGGCTGTGGGGTTGGGCTTGGGAGGATGATTGGTGGGGGTCGGGGGTGGTGTGGTGAGGAGAAGGTCAAACTGAGACCTGAAAAATCTCCTATTCACTTTTTTTTTTTCTGAGACCCTCCCTCATCCTGTCTCTTCTCCAACCCAAGTTTTAATCTGAAGTTTCCCACAGAAGTTCCCTGCTGCTCCCTGAGTCCCTGCTTCGGTGAACCCATCAGATGATTTTTACTTCTTACCATGCTGGACCTCACGGGGGCCAGATGTTCCCTGACACGTGAAGAACTGGGTCAAGGGGAACATGGATGGGCTCCCGATGGGGGAGCCAGGAGGGCGGACAGGCACCAAGGAGGGGGACCAGGAAAGGTGCCAGGTGAGAGGGATGTGAGATTAGAGGCAGCATGGATGCTTCAAATGCCCCCAGTGACCCTCTGAACGAAGATGTCCTAACTTAGGAGTGATGTCCCCCAGAGGCAGGATGGCTTAAACATTCATGGAGTCCTTTTACACAGAGATCTTTATTTTCTGTTTCCTAGGTGACAAATCCTCCAAAGAATTCTTACCACGGAAGTTGGGGTGATAAGAGCCATGGTGCCCAAGATGCCACTTGCCTGCAAGAAAACAAGAGAAGAGACTTTTAGTGGAATCCCCGTGGAGGCTCCCAGCCCCTCTGGGGAGCTGATCACACACTCAATTTTTTCATCAGCTTCACCCTTTACTGAGGACAAGCAAAGAGAAACTGCACTGTGTGAAAGCCAGGCTTTGCTCTCTGGGACCGAGAGGGGGTCCCCAGGGAGACAGAAAGTAAGCAAGGATGACTCAGAGCCGCGCAGGAAAGCATGCAGGGAGAGAGGAAAGGGAGCCGTTACCGGGAGCCCAGAGAAGTCAGCAGGCTGAGCTTCTGCCCCTCAAAGAAGGTGCGGGGGCTCACAGTAGCCCCCCAGAGCCCACGGCACCCCCCGCTCCGCCCGCCCGCGCGGGGGCCCTGCGAGGGCGCCCCAGATAGTCTCGGAGATGCCGGTCCCGCCTCGTTTCATCATCTTCCCCTCCGGAGGCATCAGCAGTCTGCAGAAGCTGAGCGAGAGACCGCCTCCCTGCTGCAGTCCAAGCACGGGACAGCAAATGAGGAAGCTCAGACGCAGGGCTGCTCCTCGAGCTGTAAATGCGTTCGTGGCGGGGGTGGGGGGGGGTTGTAACTGGGCAAAGTGGGGCAGGAGCTCGGACAAGGCTGGAACTCTCTGACCTGCTCACTCTGCGCTGGGCGAAGATCCCAGGGAAATCCCCCACAAGGCAAGGAGGCAAAGAAAAGATGGAAGGGAGTTAGGTACAAAGACCTAAAGGGTGGCAGCACGAAACACAGAGGACAGAAATAAACAGGCAGCCGCAGGAGGATGGCTAGGTAAATTATCTCACGTGGCCTCAGTAAAACACCTCCAAACCATCCTTTAAAGACAAATGCATGTAGCTCAGCGGTAGAGTGTGTGCTTTGCATGCATGAGGTCCTGGGTTCAATTCCCAGTACTTCCATTAAAATAAATAAATAAAAACCTAATTACCCCCCCTCCAAAAAAAAAACTTTAAGAAAAGACAAAAGCATGTAGCAAAAATTGACAACTGGTGAATCTAGAGGATGGGCATATGGGTGTCCATAGGTTTGAAAAAAGGTAATAAAAAGTGGAGAGAAGTGGATTAAACATTCTGTGGAACACTTGAAGCATGACATGGAAATATAAAATTATATCACAATTTTAAAATTATCTCAGGGGGAAGGTATAGCTCAAGTGGCAGAGCACATGCTTAGCATGCCAAAAGTCCTGGGTTCAATCCCCCGTACCGCCTCTAAAAATAAGTAAGTAAACCTAATTACTCCCACCAAAAATAAAAAAATTTAAATTATCTCTAAAATTATAAAAATTATAATAAATATGTAAAATTATTATCACATGGAAATACAAAATAGCAGGAGGGGGAAAGGATACAACAAGGTAAACACACATTAATACGGACCAAGGTTGGAAGCAAAGAGCGAGTGGTGAACACAGACTTGATATTCCTTCAGTAGGTTTTTAATTTCCCCTAAAAGTGTGCTGATGGGAAATTCATAATCTCAACAAGCTGATGTGCTTACACATCCTCTCCCGGATAAGAAAAAGGTGTAATGAGTAGTGAGCGGAGGGGGTAGCAGCTGAACGGTCCATCTGCCATCAGTTGCTTCCCTGGGGTTGAAAGGCACGGAGAAGGAGCGGCAAAGGAGATCCGGTCCAGCTCAAGAAGAACTCAGCTCCCTGATGCTGAGCTCCGGGACCAAACTCTTCCCAGTTGTGCGTCTTACAGGGATGCATGAACGGAGGCCGTAAGGATGCTCAGCCCGTAGTGAGAACTTCACAGTAATTAATGCCTCGGGGTATGGATAGAAAGGGACTGAAAAGGAGAGAAGGTTGGGACCTTAGTTGGTCCCTCCTACCAGTGAGGCTTGTCCTCCTGGGACAATGAATACCGCCCTCCTGTTTGATCTTCTGAGAAGTATGTCAGGCTCCTTGACTCAGAGAAGGAGTCGGGCCAACACACCAGAAACGCCAGTTTCGCCCTGGTTTACACCGGAGCTCCAGGCACCAATAACATCCCCCCAGGGACCCTCACTGTGTCCTGTTTGTCAGCACACTGTCCCTTGCCACTTCACGTGCGGCGGAGGGAGGCAGGAATCCCACTGGACCCAGCTCCTGGAGACTTACAATAACAAGCACAGGCAGCTCGAGGATGCTGTTGGGATGCTGGGTTCTGTAGGAGGGACCAGCGGTCCAGCCAAGCATAAGAGCACAGCCAGGCCTGATACACCTGTCTAGATCCAGCCCCCACCCACTCCAGGATTGGCAACTTGGAACAAATCTATGCACCTGCCTGAAACTCAGTTTTCTCACCCGGACAATGGGGGAAATAAGCATTTCAGAAGGCATTGCCTTACTCTGGTGCAAACAAACACAGCCCAGTGCCAGATACGTTATAAATGCCTACAAGCATTTTAAAGGAAAGAAGGGAGGGAGGGGAATAGCTCATTGGTAGAGCACATACTTAGTATACACATGCTCCTAGGTTCAATCCCCAGCACCTCTTATAAAAATAAGTAAGTAAAACCTAATTACACCCCCAAAATAAATGAATAACTAAAGGAAAGGATGCTGTTGGACAATGTGGCAGAGGCTGCTGGTTGCCTGCCGTACACCCATGTCCCCACTTACTCCGCTAATAGAACTTTGGTCTTGTTCAGGGAGTGGGCAGACCTGTGCCCAAGTCCAAGTCAATCATTATAATCCCAAGGCCAGCTTCGCAGCTTTCTTTGCAGCGAGGGGTGGCCACCCGACCCAGATCCACCACTAAGATTTGAGTACATTTCTGCTGGAGGCAGGGGGAGTGTCCAAGAGAAGATTTGCTTTCCTGATAAAAGTGAACAAGTGAGTCTGGCACCACCTCCCCGTTTTCCTTCTTTAAGCCACAATGAATGGTACCAAAGCCACCATTTTGCAACCATGAGGCCACAGGCATGAGGACAAAAGCCAACACACTAAGGATGGCAGAACAGAAAGATAGAAATGATATCTTTGAGCGGATTAGCCAATGAACTCAATCACTAACCTCTGAGTTTGTCATAATGGGAGGAAACGAGTTCTATGTATGGTGAGTCCACAGTTAGGGCTTTTCAGTTACTTACAGCTGAAAGCATTCCTAACTCACACAGTAAGAAATAAGCAAACAAAAGCAGACTTGAGCAGAAGAGGTGGCAATGTTTGGGGTTCTGCAAACACAAAGCAGCCACCACAGTAAGTGCAAGGGCAGATGGGGGTCCCGGCAGTGGGGCTCAGTGTTACCAATCATCCCGGTGACGTAGCCAGCTTGCTGCAGCACCTCAGCCAAGGTGGTCTCGTTGAGCGGGAGGCCCCCCACAGAGGTGACTGCAAAGTTGTGAGTGACTCCATTGCGAAGGCCGAGCCGGCCGGTGAGCAGTGAAGCCCGGGAGGGCGAGCAGGTGGAGGCAGCTGCGTGGAAATCCACAAACCTGCACGGAAAGGAAAGAGATCGGGATCCAACCACAGAAAACCAAGCCAGGAGAAAATTCAATTCCCACTCAGTTCCTAGGATTCCAGTGCTGGGAAAAAGCTCAAAGGTCACCCAGTTGTGGGACAGCTAAAGAAAGCGAAGCCCAGAGAGGTAATGCAATAATCCGAGGTCACACAGCTAATTCAAACTGATTTAATCCAATCTATTTAATCGATTTTTTTTTAAGTGAAAGCAAGTTTATTTAGAGAGATACACACTCGGCAGACAGAGTGCAGGCTGTCTCAGAAGGCAAGAGAGAGCCTTCATCAATCCTCTTTCTTTGTAGTTTCCATACTTTGAAATCCTCTACTCCCTAAATGTCAGTACTCATGGCTCTTAAGTGGTCATTCACAGGCGTACGCAGGCCTGTGAAAATTCGAGCCGCCCGCTGGGAATGTTCCCAGCTGAGGTCAAATCAGGTGACCTTCTTGTTTGGACTCTCACACTGCACGCAAGTGTCCTCCCTTTCACAGTCCATTTAGTGCCGTGGATTTTGCACTTTTGTTCTTTTCTGTTGGTGATTTCACTGTTTCCAACAGCCCCTGAGCGCAGTGCCAAAGGGTCGCCTAGCGTTCCTGGGCTCACGAAGTTGGGATGTGCCTCGTGGAGAAAACACAGGTGTTGGATGAGCTTCGCTCAGGAATAGTTAAAGCGCTGCTGGCCGTGAGTTCAATGTCACCGACTCAAAAACATACATTAAATAAGACATCTTTATACAGAAACACACATAAAACAAGGTTCTGTACTGATCAGTCAACGAAAATGTTGTGTCCAGGGGCCCCCAGGAACCTAACTCTGCATTTCCCCTGGAAGCAGTGGTTCCAGGTTCCCGAATTCATCGTTCGCAGGGACTTTAGAAAGAAAGTAAATATCGCCGGCAACAAGAATCGACTGTCACTCACTACCATAAGCCCAGCCCTTTTTCAGACACTCTGGAGAAACAGAGGGGTCTCTCCATTTGCCTACCCTCAAGGAATGAGGTTAAATTTAATGTCACTAATAATGGTGTCTCCTGATGAGAGGCTGCTGAAGTTCCCAACAGCAAGGATTCCTGCCCAGAACGTTTAACCTGAATCTAATCAGACCTCTGGACCTAATTTCCACATTATAGGGAAAATAACTAAGAGCAGAGCAAAATAAAGAATACCACAAGAAAATAATTCCGCAAACCAGTCTCTGGACGTTCTCTAAGACAACTGGTCTGATCTCTTCAAAAAGTCAATACCTGAGGGAAAGATGGGATGGAGGGGGGATATTCCACAGCAGAGAAGACTAAAGAGATGGAGTCAGTGCAATTCATGACCCTTGACTGGATCCCAGTTCAAACAAGCTGATGACGCCTTCGAGGGCTAATTCAAGAAATTTAATAATATGAGCTGGGTATACAGTGACATCTGGGAATCACAGTTCATTTTTTTCAACGTGGCCATGGGGAAGAATGTCTTCTTCCTCTCCAGGTGTACTGAGATACAATTGACAAATAACGGATTAGTTTCAGGCATACAACATAATGATTTGATATAAGTATATATTGTGAAATATATACACCATGATAAGTTTAGTTAACATCCATCACCTCACATAGCTAACAAAATTTTTTCTTGTGATGGGAACTTAAGATCTACTCTCCTAGCAACTTTTAAGTATACAATATAGTATTTAACTATAGTCACCATGCTGTCCATTACACCTCATGAAGTCTTATCTTATAATTAGAAGTTTTCACCACCTTCACCCATTTTGCTGCATCCCCCACCCCCGCTTCTGACAACGACCAATCTGTTCTGTTTCTGTGACTTTGGTTTTTTTTAGATTCCACATATATGTGAGATCATACAGTATTTGTCTTTCTCTATCTGACCTATTTCACTTAGCATAATGCCCTCAAAGTCCATGCATGTTGTCAAAAATGGCAAAATTTCCTTTTTTAATAACTAAATAACATTCCGTTTTGTATCACATTTTTATTACATCAAAAATATGTTTATTGATTGACCAACAAGGGCTTAATTTCCAAAATATACAGACAGCTCGTTTAACTCATTAACAAAAAAAAGAAAAAACCAAGCAACTGAATCAAAAAATGGGCAAAAGACCTAAATAGACATTTCTCCAAAAAGACATACAGATGGCCAACAGGCACTTGAAAAGATGTTCAGCATCTTTAATTGTTAGAGAAATGCAAATCAAGACTACAATGAGGAACCACCTCACACCAATCAGAATGGCCATCATTAAAAAGTCAACAAATAACAAATGCTGGAGAGGGTGTAGAGAAAATGGAATCTTCCTACATTCTTGGTGGGAATGTAATTTGGTGAAGCCACTATGGAGAACAGTTTGGAGGTCTCCTAAAAAAACTAAAAATAGACTTACCATATGATCCAGCAATCCCACTCCTGGGCATATATCCAGAGGAAACTCTAATCCAAAAAGATATATGCACCTCGATGTTCACAGTGGCACTATTTACAATAGCCAAGACATGGAAGCAACCTAAACGTCCATTGACAGATGACTGGATACAGAAGATGTGGTACACACACACACACACACAC